AATATCCACTTCTCCTCATGTAGTGGTTGAGACCTACTAAGGGGAGAGTAGGGCAGGGCAGTTCCAGAAAATATCCATACCTCCACCATGGAGGAGGATTGGTACTACCAAGGGGTAAAGAGGGTCTGAGGAGGGTATGTTGTGTAGTTTCAGCAATATCCCCTGATGGAGCATAGAGCAGGTCAAGTAGAGTAGGGCAGTTCCAGAAAATATCCCAAAATGTAAAGTAAAAGATGAGGTGTCTTTCAGCCCCTTTGAGAAATCTTACCACACAGCGCCTGGTGGACACCATCTTTCCTTTCATGAAATCTGGAGTAAAAAATATTAGTATTAGCAATACAATGAAAACTTCAGCTCACACACTCTTTGATGAATCCAATATTTACTTTTGTTGGAGTTCCATCTCGAGCTTCTTGTAATTGTGGGAACTGGGTGACATTTCTTCTGGTTTCCTAAGAATGTCTTTTACCGTGAGGAAGAAGTCCTAAAAAACAACAACAACAAAAAAACACACGTTTTTAGCAGGAGCTAAATTAACAAGTTTTCTCTGGGGTCTCTGGTTTTTCCATCCATAAAAATCAACATAGAGATCTAGAGGGCATTTGGGAGGTTTGTCTGAACCTATAATAATAATAATATTATTAAATTTATAAAGCACGACTTTAACACGTGAATATGATCAAATGCGCATTATCTAGACCTAGAATATAAATATATATATATATATATATGTCAAAAACCACATTAGAAAAAAACAAACTATAGATTGTATTTTATAACTATATATATACAGTGAATGTCATTAACGTTGTCCACCGAAAAAAGACATTTACACATTTACACATTTAGATATTTAGACTAAAAGAAATATCATGTTTCCTCAAACGTTCTGGCATAAAACAAACGCTGAAATACCATTTTCCATCTTAAATCCTCATCAAATTGGCGGGGCATTCTGGATTTTCGATTCGCAAGTTAAATTTTACATTTAAAGTTCAGGCTGTCACACACGAGGCAAAGAATACATAATGAAACAAGTGATATTTCTCTTAGTTTAAATGTCAAACCATGATCAAACCCCCAGATGGCAACTACAAACCCCCTCCAATACAACCATTCTCATAATGGCTGACGAGAGCACAAAAATGAGGTCACCAAGTCATCTTGCAAGGCTGAGCAAGGCTGCTCATTCAAAATAAAGGTGGATAGCATGAATTCAGGTCAAAACAAAAGGCCAATTTCAGTCTATACTTTTCTTCTATAAACGCATTAATCATGTGCTTTTATATCTTTTTATTGAACTAAAGACCAGGTAATCTCATTTTCATGCACTTGTCAGTCATTTTGAGAATGGTGTGTTAGATCAACTTGATTTTATCGAACCCCTTAAAGKACAAGTTTTTTTGGTTTGCCAAATTGCAATGCCTTTTTTGGCTCAGTTCGGAAGTTTGAAGCCATCTAGTGAAAGTCCTGGATTCATGCGTGAGAGGAGTATCAGACATTGAAACAAATAATCAGTATGTGTGAATCCATGAATCCCTATTTCCTAGATTACTCACATTAAATAGTTTCTCAGCCTGTTCAGCTTCTCGTATGACATTCTCACTATAGTCCAGAGTAGTATTCCATGTGTGCAGTAAGAATGCCAGCCTTATTTGTCTTGAGGTGTTCCTCTGGAGAGCTTCCTATAGATATAGATGGTGGACTAGTTATATACTAGCTAGTATAATATCCCCAGAGGATTAACCATGAGAATAATTATTTACAATTATGATGATGGCGATAATGATGATGGTGATGATAGTAATGATGAAGATGGTGATGATGATGATGGTGGTGATGATGATGATGATGATGATGGTGGTGATGGTGGTGGTGATGATGATGATGATGATGGTG